GTCCGAGTTATACAAAGTTGGTGTAAAAAAAGATGTGAACTTCATTTACACAGAAGAATCCAATGGAGATTATGGGTTGGCTCATATCTACTGTATGATGGCTATTTTCGCCACTTCAATGGCCGTCGATTCCGTCGTTACTCGACGACCAATACAGAAAAAGTCTGGGAGAGTCCACAAGCAACTTCCACAAGGCGCGAAGAGTGAGAAGAAAGACGAGGAACCCTCTAAAGAGGTTCAACCCGAGAATTGAATGATTGAAATGTACTATTATATTGTTAATATAAAACTATAAATAATGGTACACGAGTTGTCTTAATTATAGAACTAACTATTATTAGACAAATAACATAATAATATACAATGATTAAGAACTAGAGGAGACTAGTAAAATTTATGAGAATCGAACTATTTCACCGTTTGATAGACCTGCGACGATTTGCTCGTCGTTGAGTGCGATGGAAGTGACTAAATAATTTGATCTGAGTAGTGTGCGCTTCAATCCGAACCAGCCCGGGTAACAGTTGATATACACAAGAGAACGAAAGGACGTCCCAAACACTCCACGACGATTTCCAATGTGAAGCGTCGTTATAGGCGACTTGAAGAAAATACGCTCGGCACAGATCTGATTCATCCGTTGGTCATACATCACTATATTACCACAGTCTGTCCCATAGACTAAAAAATTGCCAAAGGAGTCAAATAGGAGTGGTGTGTACTCCCGTTGTGGTGTGTGAAAAACGACTTGATTTGCTCGACGATCGAACCCGGTCAATTTTCGATTGGAGTCGATACAGATAATGTTGCCATTGTCGGCTTCATTGAGCAATTTTATTGGACTGTTTGTTGGATGGAATACTTGGACGATACGAGAAACGGCCGTGTCATAGATGTACCCTTCCATTTCGTTCTTCGCGACTAAACAATTGTCACTAATAAAATTGAAGTCCTGAAATTTGGGAATGGTAAATAGCTCATATCTGTTGGTATTAAAAGAGACTCTACAGAACTCAGTATCACTATATGGAAATTGTATGTAATTATCTGCACGGTTGTATTGAGCTTTTGGGGAATTACACTGGGTCTTTAAAACAGTTTTTCGAGACATATCTGATGGCATTGATATGCATTTCTGCTCTAAAGTGGAGAGAGCTAAATACCCCTTTGAATTTGTGATGAAAAGACCGTCCACCGGACTGTTATTAAAAATTTGAAACCGTTCCACTGTCTTTGTAAGTCGTCGCGTCCACTTCACTTGGTTGAATTTAGCCAGAGAAACTGTTTTGTAATTGTTTTGACTCGTCTCTTGTTGTGTTTCTAGAATTCGTTCTTTTTTAAGGAAAAATGTATTAGGGTTGAAGTGGAGTTCAAAGAATGTTTCGAATCGGTTGGTGTTGCTTAATATTTGTAACTTGAGTGTTTTACAGCACAAAGAGAGGCTTAGAAGACTTTCGAGTGGTAAGAAGTCGAATATATGTTCTTTAAGTTGTGCGCTTAAAGCCAACAAGTTGAAAGAAGACGCGACTGTTTCATTCTGTTGCACAATTTTTGCTTCTTTCATCTTTTTTGTTCTGTCTTCTATGACATATTTGTTGACCAAATTGGTGTAAGAGCAAACGTCGATCAATTGTAACAGCAAATTCTCCTTAAGTGAAGGAACTGTGATATTCAGCCCATACAACATGATGATTCTCGACAACAAAAAAGTTGATATCAGCGACATGACGCATATCCCTCTCTTAGTTTTGTCGACCATTTTTAATGTTGGGGTGGACCAATGGTGATAAAAATTGGCTTCGAGTCGGTGGCCGACCCAAGACACCATTTCGCCGGAGATCAGATCTTCAAAATAGGAGTGCGCCTCTTTCGACGCAAATGTGCAATCTTTACATGGGACACTTTGACAAAACACGAAGAGCCCTCTTTCTGCCAACAGTGAACCATAGACTTGGTCTGTCATAGAATTGGAGAATCCAAGAAATGGGGTCTCTTTATGTATATAACTGAGTCTCCCCGTCTTTTTAATTTGTTTTACTATAGGGAATAGAAAAGAGTTCGATGAGATGTAGTTGTTATACTTAGTACAGAGTTGTTGGAAGGAAATGAGGGGCAAAAAGATTCTACCCTTGATGATTAATTCCGAGTAGTCGTTAGTCGCAAAGATGTCGAAGATTTCATTTTGGTGTAAAACCTTTGGAAGGGTGACTTTGTTATCAATGACTTGGTTAAACCTTTTAAAATTGGATAATATGAAATGCCCTTCGGCGTCGTGTGCCAAATGTTCGTTTAAGAAACTAATGGAGTACCCAAACATAGAGAATAAGAAGTCGATTTGGTCGTTTCTGAGTTGGTTTTGGATATTACAGTAGAGCGTGTATTTCACACCGCTTTGTTCTTTTCTGCATAAGTTGACAAAGTGGACAAATGGGCCAATTGAAAAATGATTTCGAAGAGCAACAGTGAGGGAGATATCTTTAAATTCGGTGTATGAGTAATTGCAAAACACTGTTTGATTGATTTGAAGGATATCAGACAGAATGACTATTTCTAACTTGTTTTCTATCTTTTTAACTGTTTTAATAACATTAGTAAAAGACATGAGAAGCTCGATGTTTCTCATTTCTGTTGATGTTTGTTCATAACTATATGGCAAAAGTGCTTCAGAACATAATGTAAGAATATTGGAAGTGCGTTTAATATACATCTGGAGATAAAAAGGAGGGGGTTTAATAACATTCTCGACACGTTCCCACCCATTTGCTCCGCAAGGGACATCTCTTAAGACATTGTTTATAATCTCTTCTGGTGTTTCTTCGCTCATACTTATTTTTAAGTTTAATATATTCTATATCTATACTATAAGAATAGTTAAAAGTACTATAAGAGTTCCATGTTTTAAATAAAGACAGTACAACAGATTACATATATATATATATTATATACAGTAGATACAATAATGATAACCAAGTCAAGTATTTTATTATTAGTTATTTAATAGTTTTATAATTGCCAATAAGAAAAAAATAAACTATTTCTTTTCTATAAATTAAATTATATTGATTGCATGTCTTTATGTCAAGTTATGAATGTTATGGATGAGATGGATATCTAAATGTATTGTAAAATCAATCATTCTCTTACAAAGCAAACAACGCCATTGTATGGTCTTCACTCCCAGTCACAATCAGTTTCTTTTCCCAATTCACTTCTGCACACAATATCGCGTCGTTGTGGCCACCCATCTCTTTCACACAATGTTCGGCTCTAACGTCCCATAACCTGATTCTGGAATCCATCCCAAAAGACGCGAGCATATAACTCCCTTGTTGCATGTCGAGTTTCGTGACTGATAACTCTTCATCTCCACAGTGTTTGAATCGGCGCGTGAGTCTCCCAGTGTCGATATCGTACATCCTCACAACCCCATCGAGACTTCCCGTGAATGCAAATTTGGAGTGAAGAGCGTTGACAACGGCGCTTTCGACAGACGCATCCTCTTTCTCGCCTTTTAACGTCGATAGACTTCTTCCCGTTTGTACATTGAAAATCGTGCAATTGCCATCCGCAGACCCAACAACACCAATCTTAGAGTCTTTCATAACATCTACGCACGTCACTTCAACCGACTCGTTTTGTGGACAAACCATGAATTTCTCCGGTACACCAGTCTTTGGGAACCAAACCCGAACACTTCCATCTTCGTATCCCGCAACGACATTCTTCCCGTCCGGAGTCACACACCCAACAGTACTTGGAATACCACAACTCAGTGAAGTTATCAATTTGCCGCTGTCGGCATTCCACAACCAAATTGTTCCGTCATTGGAACCAGCAATAACTACATGCCCTTGTGGGTGGAATTTGACCCACTCGAACTCGTCATACCCGTCGAGTGAATATTTCATTGTCCCAGTAACGTCGTAGATTTTAATGGTGGCGTCGTAATTGGCGATTGCAAGTAACGCGTTGTCGTGGGAAAAAGAAACCGAACTCACGGTGTTCTCAAATGTCTGTTGAAACACTTTGTTTGTTGGGACGTTGTAAACCGCAAACGAATTATCGCAGGAACCACCCGCAATGAAGTTGCCGTCTTTTGAGATTGAGACACACATCACACCATCATTGAAATCAATCTTCTGTTTTCGGTCATCGGGGGATGAAGAGTACTTCTTTGCTATATAACACACTCTCTTTGCTGATTGTTGCATCATTTCCTCTTCATCGCGACGAGCCAATTCAGAGTCAGACAAATCTTTTTCGTCATCTTCATCATATTCCTCTTCATGGTCACCATTTTCTTTGTCAACTTCCTCCCCTTCCATGCGGTCTGCTCCTTCAATAATCTCTTCATCAGAGTCTATGACATCATCTTCATACTCCTCGTCGACTTTTTCTTGTTTCTCTGGTTTGGAAGAGTTTTCATTTTGAGAATGTTGAGGTTCTTGATCCATAAACTAGGGTTACTAATTATGAAGATCTTTTTTATTATGAAGTTTCGAATGACGTTTTCTCATCAAAAATAATGTATTATAACCAAATTATATTATAGATAATTCTACAAAAAAAGATCAGAAAAATGTATTATACTTTTATAAGATTTTAATAATATTAAAAAATGAATCAGAACGAAAAATCAATTCATCAAGATTTTTTCTTTGAAAAGATTCTTTTTTATTCCCAAAAAAGCTTTTTTCTGGAATAATTATTTATAAACTATAAAATGTAATAGAAATAATTAATATAGAACTATAAGTTAAAAAATAATAAGCAATACACATTTTTGAATGAAAAAAACATCGAAAAACATATTTTGATTAAATTAAAAACAATAGAAATTATAATATATCAAAAACCATTATTTTTGTAAAACAAACATCAAGAAAAAGAATCAGAAATATCTATTGATAGTTTTAGTTTTTTATAATTAAATATTTACTATAAAGTACTACATAATTACACCCGAAATTCAACAGATAATTCTTACCAAAAATTCCGCTATAAAAATGCAAGAACAAGTTGAGTAATTCAGAATGTTGTTCTTCTTCATCCTCACTGCTTTTGCAGTTGAAGTGAATTTAATGCTTCCATTGGATACAGTGAATTCAAATGGTCTTGCCAACCAAGGTCAACTCACAAACGACTTCTCTAAGATTAAGTCTGGTGGAGTAGTGGGTGTGATGTCCGATATCTGGTGGGGGTTAGTCGAGACGTCTCCAAAGACTTACAATTGGAATGCATACAAGACAATGGTACAACTTGCCAAGAACGCTGGTCTTAAATTTCAAGCTGTGATGTCCTTCCACAAATGTGGAGGCAATGTTGGGGATACTTGTGACATTCCAATTCCGTCGTGGGCGATAACCGCTGGACAGAATGCTGGTGCTTTCTTTAAAGATCATGAAGGGTGGGTGAACACGGAGTACATTTCCTTTGGTGCAGATTCTGAAGCTGTTTTTGAAGGAAGAACGCCTCTTCAAATTTACAAGGACTTTATGGCGTCTTTCAAATCAAATTTCCAGAGCTTCATTGACGATGGAACAATTAATGAAATTCAAGTAGGTATGGGGCCATGCGGAGAGACTCGATATCCATCATACCCAGGTGCTAAGTTCCAATATTGTGGCATTGGAGAGTTTGAGTGTTCTGACAAGTATTCTCTCGCTAAGTTGCAAGCCGCTGCAACTGCGGCCGGACATAGTGAGTGGGGTTCAGCGTCACCATCAAATGCGGGGACTTACAATTCAAGACCACCCTCATCGACCGGATTCTTTGGGAGTGGAAGCGACAACTACGCCTCTGCATATGGAAAGTTCTTCATGGACTTCTATTCAAATATGTTACTTGAACATACAAAGAACGTCTTGTCGAGTGCTAAGGACGTTTTTGGGTCATTAGCTATTGCTGGCAAAATCAGTGGTATTCACTGGTGGTGGAAAGACAACAGCCACGCGGCAGAGTTGACTGCAGGCTACTACAACGCCAATGGCAACAACGCTTATTTGACTATTGCGAACGCATTCAAACCATACGGCGCACGATTTGATTTTACTTGTTTGGAGATGAGTGGAGAAGACTCGAACTGTGGATCAGCACCAGCTGCTTTGGTTGATCAAGCGTATAAAGGAGCTCAAAGTGCAGGAGTTGCAAGATGTGGAGAGAATGCACTTGAGTTGTGTGGGTATGGTGGATGCAACACGTCTGGGTTCAACCAAATTGTGACACAAGCGAAGTGGTACGGATTGACCGCGTTCACTTATTTGAGAATGACAAGAGCCTTACTTGATGATGGAACAGCTTGGGGGCAATTCAAAAGCTTTGTGAACAACATGAAATAACTCAATTTACTAAAAGTTTTGGTTGTTATTGAAATTACAATGCCTTTCGAATGGTTTTTGCTCGACAGAAAAGAAAAAGGAAATGTGTTGATAATTCGGAGTTGAATAAATCTGTTTTGAATAAAAAAGTTTTTAAAAAAATTGGAGAGTACAAAGTCCAATACAGCGGGATTTGCGTGATTTACAACGATGTTTTATTGTCCTTTTGTGTCCATTTTTCAAATGAAATGTTATCGTTTTTTAATATGTTGTTAAGACGTGGTTATAACTCTTGGCTGAAAATGCCAATTATTTATATTCCATTTTTATGAAGTAGTGTTTGATACCATTTTATTAGTATCGAAATGGTAAAAATAATAGACTACTTGTATAATAGCATTGTATTGTCAGTGGTGATGAATAACGCCGTGTTGATTATGAATGATTTAAATATAGAAAGCATTTTTGAAATAATTCCATTACTTGGTGTTTGGTATTTACAATGAGTAGTTCGTAACTCCCAAATGTGTTTTAATCATCCACGTTTTGTCGTGCTTTCTGTGAATAAGCCAACCCTCAATGTCTTTGATAAGCATAACTCCGAGCGGGTGTTGTTATATTCATGACATTTGTTCTAAAATCAGATTGACAAGTGTTAGTCATTCGTTCGTCGATTCCATTTTAAAAAAGTTAAGTGCCCTCCCAAAAGTGCGTTTTGTCTTTCTTTGTCTTTGTGGATTGGTTTCTGGGGTAAACAAGACATCCATTTGGTGTTATTTCGTCTGAACATTTGGTTCTCATCCTGCTCTTTTGCTCTAGTATTACGAATCTCCAAACAAGATCTTGTGTCTTGCAAATGAGTCTTTGTTCAAGATCTTTCTAATGAAAATAGAATCCAAAATGTTTTCAGTTTACGGTGAACTTCCACTCCAAATACGAGCAAAACCGGGGTTTTGCCATATTGAGTTTTGTTAAGATTTGAAAACCAATTGTTGTCGCCATAATTATTATTATTAAAACCGAGAAATGTTCCTGATTTTTAGCTTATTGGAAGAAGATCAGCGGTGATTATTAAAAAGTGGCTTGAACTAAGTTGCAGTCTGTTTGTTACTTTGGTTTTTTTCAAAAACACTACTTTTTTTGTTTTTCATATACGGCAATTTCCCGCTTTCTTATATTATATTTGGCTGTCATTCATTACCACAAAAATGGAAACACTGTGGAGGGTTTATTAAAAAAGCGTTATCACAAGCGGAGATGTGTTTTTACAACTCTTCAATATACAAATTAAATAATAACAGAAGCTTAAATATATAAAAAGAAATTGGTATTTGGTTGCGATGCGAGCTGATTGCCGGGGCTCGATTCAATTCGATACTTTACAAGGGCGAACCAAAAACAGCAGAAGTTTTTCTGAAATTATATTTTGAGCGAATACCAAGCGCAAACGGGAAGTAGGGCCTATTTGTGAGAAAATAGAAATAGAGAGACGTTGCAATAGATTTTGATCAATATCATTTTGAATGTTTCTCAATTTAAAGTTGAACGGAACTTGTCGCTCTGATGAGTCTTGCAACGGCACAGCGCCCACAGAAACATCACGACGAGCGTAACCTCCTCACGGAGGTTGAGTGTGTTTTGCTCGCGCTTTTGTCGCGGAAATACGGATTTGTTCTTTCTAAGCCACAAAAGAAGTCGACGACCGCTAAGCAATTTGTGAAGGTTCGGACGCTAGTAAAAGAGAACGAAGAGTATGAGTTCGAGCTCCAGAAATTCATCAAAGCGCGTACCTATCAACGTGTCGAGAAATTACAGAAAGAGGGATTTCCGTTAAAAACAGCAAGACGCAAAACACAATCAATAAAGAGAAGTGAAGCGTTGTATATCTTTGAGGACTTACTCCTCGAGTTTGGGTATATAGTCTTCTTTGAAAAAATCAACAGGGAAGGGATCAATGGCGACGTGCAAATATTTTGTAATGGGAAGTTTGTGTATGGCAAGGATGATATCAGAACAATTGGAAATAAAGTCAGTGGTTTTTTAACACAACGCCTTGGTAATGCTCTCTGTGAAAGCGTTGGTGTTGGAGAGTTGTGTCAGTTTTGTTTCTAATCAAATTGTTAATGTGTTTTGTTTTTCATGATATTATGAATATCTAAAATGATAAGTTTGAGGTTTCTAATCTTATTATTGTCTGATATTATTTAATTATTTTTTAATTTTAATTAAAAAACAATAATATTTTAATTTTTTTTCATATTTTGAAAATAATTTTATTCATTTGTTTATTTATTATATTTTATAGTTTCAACAATAATTAATATAATTAAAATTACTTATAAATAATTTTTTATCAATTCAATACCATATTAATTATAATTATTGTTAAATAAAATTATAATTATAGTTTTTAAAAAACTTTAATAATAACTTTGCCAACGGATAATTTAAAGAATATGGATATTGTGTTCTAAAAATAAAAAAATGAATAAAAAATATTTTATTTATTAAAACTATAATATTAATAAAATAAAATTAAAAATATAATATAAAAAAATATTATAACATTTAATTATTTTTTATAAAGTTAAATTTTTTCATAACAAACAAGCAAGCAAAATTTGCCATATGTCAAATTATAAATAACTAACCCAATAAAATATTAAAAATGAACCATTTATATACCATTTTTGATTAGAATGGTTTAAAAAGAAAGTAGAGTACGTTTAAAAATACATAGAAATGCAGTCAAGTTGAAAATTCTCCTTATTATTAAAAATCAATTAATTTACTATTATAGTCAACCCATAACTTTTCATCAAATTGTATTGTGAACCATACACAAATTGATATTAAGGCACAAATCATACATTTTCTGTTTATTTACTTATTTAAACGATTAAATTCTATTAACAGATAGTAATTGTATAATTATCCAACGATTAAAAACGAATAATCGATAACGAACTTAATTATAAGTAAAAGGGATGGTACTTGAGTATCTTTTTGTATTCTTGTTACTCTTTTGCTATACGACGCTGTCCATAGACAATTGGTGCCAAAGAACAAAGAACTCACAAGAGATAGTACTTTTAACATCAACCAGATGCCAATTTGACCAGTACTGGACAGGTTTTAAAACTGAAAGAACAGAAGCTGCAACACAATTCACTATTTTCAGTGATTGTTGTCAAGACGTGTATAATCCCCTACTCAACAATTTGACCTTTTATGATGATGGAAAAGCAACATTGACCAAGAAAATAACATTTGAATTCAGTCCAACTGCTCGTTTCAATAGGGATACCCAAGTTTTGAATTTCAACATTTCCGACATCTCTTCTCTATGGACTTTAGACTGTAACAAAATTCAAGAGGGGTCAAAGCTTGTGTTTGTTGGAACAAGAACAATAAAAACTGGATATGGGAACCCTTTATTTGTTGGGAGTCGTGGATTCACTATTGATGTTCAAAGCCCATACGAGAATTTTTATGTGAGGAACTCCGGGGTAGCCAATTTAAGAGTCACTGGCAATATGGGATTTAATATGATCTCAGACTTTTATAAAAACACTACAACATGTGCGTACAGATTGACAGCGTATGAACCCAACCTTTTGAATCAAACGGTCAACGTCACCTCTTCAATTCCAAAGACAAAAATAGCGAAATTGTGTGAAAGAGGAAATTATGTGAGGTATGCAATTTGCTCCACACAAATACTGAACCCACCCGAGTACTGCAGTTGCACATACGACGGAGAATCTTTCGACTTTTTGGATGGGATGTTGGATTGCAGAGACTTGAACGAAGTGTACGACTTGAAATTACAGCCCGTTCAAAACGAATGGCCTTTTGAAAAGATGAGATGGTTCTCGATAACAACACAAGGAGTTCCAACATACGCAACTATACCACCACAACAAACACTCACTTTAGTTGGGCCTGTCCATTTGCCAAACGCTTCTCTATTCTTGTCCGGGAGTGTCGAATTTCTCGACACGTTGTACATAGAACGACATGATGTCACTTACCAACTCGGCAATTTCAGACTCACTGCTGTTGATAGGACTAAAGTGACTTTAAAGGACGCGGTGTTGTTTGTTGGGAACTTGGCTAAAGATCAAAGCGCCACTTACTTTGGATTAGTCGAAAAAGTGTGCAACCAACCTTCTAAAAAGCGATATCTTTCACTTGAGTCTACAATAGGGTGTGGGTGCACACAACAAGATGGTGGGTTTGTTCAAGGAGACTGTGAAGATGTGAGTTTGAAGAGGTCGACTGGGCTAACTTTAATACTTGAAAGAGATTATGATGGTGGAGAAAACAAAAGGTATTGGGACTCCATTGTCACTTCAAGTAAAACGAATGACACTGTTACAGTGTCTGGAATATATGTAGAATCAAAGAAGTGTGACTTTACTGGGGCAAGTGAAGTCATCATCAATGCATATTTAAAATGTGAGAGCCTTGTCATTTTATCGAGCAACGTTATTAAAAGCACAGAAAATGGTACCTTTTCTTTTGATACCATTCAAATACAAGACAGTTTGTCTAATGTCAACAATTTGAATGGTGACGCTTTGATTCAGGTTGGAGATGGAAAGTTGTTAGTAACATCTGCTCTTGTGTTTGATGCACAGATGGACACATTACAAGCTGCGTGTTTTGAGCTTGCTTCTGCCAAAAGTGAATTTTCGAAAGACCTCGAGTATGTCAAAAAAGATAATGTATTTGAAAGTGTTATTGTTAACAAATTGTTTAGAATGTGCAAAAGATATAAACCGGATTATGACGTTGTTTGTCAATTGAACAATGAAAGTTATGGTTATTTTGAGCAAGAGTACTGCCCATGTAAAATGTGTCAAATCAAACCACATGGTGATATTATTGATTTTAACAATAAAAAGATGTTAGAAGGTATAATATATGCAGAAAGTACTTTAACTCTTCGAAATAGTGTTTATATTGATTCTATCATGGCCAATTTAGACATTGTTGTTGTAATTGAAGGAAGTACTCCCACAACAATAAGTACTCTACTCCAAACAAAAGGAATTTTTGTATTAAAAACTACTCAAGAAGTTATTGTCGAAACGTTGAATGGAGTTACATTGAATCCACTCAACAAAATAACTTTGAAAGGTCCAACAGTCAAACTTGGAAATATCATTGAAGACGACAAAAGCGACATACTTATAGGGAGTGATGTGGTATCGATATCTGCACTTTCAGAACTTACTGGAATTAAAGAAGAGAGCACAAAACCAATTTTAAGGATGGAGCAGAACACTAAGAGTAAATTGTATTTGACAGCGCCACAAAGTTTGTACACACGCGTTCTTTTGGATAGAGTTCAACGTGATATAGAATGCAATAATTGTGAATTTGCTTGTGACCAACAGTCTGTTGTTGTGCGTAAAGAATACTCAAATTCATATGACTGTCAAAAACTTAATCGATACGACAGTGTTTGTAAAATTGATGGCACAAGCCCAACTGGTTATAGAGATGAAAATGAGTATGTTAAATATTCATGTCCTTGCAATTCTAAATTGAGCAAATGTAGTATAGAAGCTGGTGATGTTGATGAGTTAAATGTTGTCAACGTTGCATCTCTTACCGTCAAAAGAGAAGTCAAATTAAATGCAAATGGCCAAACGTTTACAATAGATGCCAAAGGTCTCAACAACTACACTATTCAAGTTGTTGGGGAAGGTAACATCATTTCCTTACAATTTGAGTCCTACCAAAATTTGGTTGTTTCAAACAATAATACAATTGTAACACCTTCCAAGTATTTATCCCTTAAAATTGTATCATTCGAAAAGAAGACTACGACTTTATTCTACGCTGTAACTTTGAGTACTGAAGAGTTGTGTAAATCATATATTATACGAAATGGTACGTATAAATGCATTTCGTGTGGTGAAATGAAGATATCGAATGGTCAGTGCGTTGGGTATAAGAGTGTTGATAATTGTGGAGGATATAGTACAAATGGCTATTGTGCAGATTGTAAAGAGTCATATTACCTCTCTGCAACATCCACTTATCAGAACTGCCTTCTCATAAATATTCCGAATTGCTTGAGAGTAAGTTCTGCTTCGAAGTGTATTCGGTGTAAAACTGGGTATTCAGTAGTCAATGGAAGGTGCCAAAAATATGATAAATGCAATGGTCTCATTGATGGAAAATGTAGGAAATGTCCCGTCAAAACATATGAAGCAAACAATGTATGTGAAGGTTGTGACCCCTCTTGTTATGAATGTTCTTCTTCTGGTCAGTGTGATGTTTGTGACTTCAAAACTGGCCAAGTTGAAGAAAATGGCATCTGCACGACAAAAGTTGGGTCGAATTCAGTCACGGATTCTTCGGTTATTTCGTGCCAAAATGGGTATTACTTATTTTCTGGTGTTTGTGAAAAGTGCAGTGGCTCGTTTACTTTTTGTGAAGTTTGCAACAAAGACGCATGTTTGAAGTGTAGCAGAGACACTGTTTTGGTTGATAAGAAATGTGTGACTATTGATCTTTGTGAAGCCACACAAAATACAATTTGTCGATGTTCTAATGGATATCATTTTGATGGTTCAAGTTGTCAAAAATGTCCTCTGGGTTGTTTGACTTGCCACACTGATACCAATTGTTCTTCTTGTGAACCCGGATATTACTTCCAAAATGGAAAATGCACTCTTTCTGAGTTAGTTGAAGACTCTTCGAAGTGTGAAACAACCACTGAAGGACACTGTTCTTTGTGTTCAAATGGATACATTTTAACGAATGGGATTTGTGAGAATTGTTCAACAAATTGTCTAAGTTGTGCTGTGAAAAGTACGACTTGTATGAGTTGCCGTGAAGGCTATGTTTTACAACAATATGGTGGGAATGTGTGTAAAAACAAAACAGAAACAAATGCTATATGTCAAGACTTCACTTTGGATTTAACAGGTTGTATTTTGTGCAAAAAAGGATATTACAATAAAGGATTTGAGTGCATTCCATGTTTGAGTAATTGTGATAGTTGTTTGGACAGTTTGACATGTAATGTGTGTAAAACAGGGTTTTATTTCCAAGACACGAGTCATTGTGAAGATAAGATGTTGTTAACAAACTGCAAGAAGATAACAGATAGTGGGTGTGAGCAATGTGAAGATGGGTTTTATCTTAAAGACAAGAAGTGTGTAGCATGTTCTTCACTCACTGAGAAATGTAACGAGTGTACTTTGTATGAGTGTACTTCATGTGAAAAAGATTATGTATTGGACAGAAGGACTTGTTCATTTTACAAAGAAATAGCCGAGTGCAACGAGGCAGTCAACTCAAAGTGCACGTCCTGCTCTTTTTGGAATGCTCCAACATCAGATGGGAAAAGTTGTGAAAAGAAAGTAGTTGTATGGTTTGTAGTTATAGTAGTCATCATATGTCTTTTCATTTTCGTTGGTGTTATTGCTGGGATTATTGCGCTGAGTACTTACACCATTTACAAAAACAACAAATACAAAGTGCCAGATGATGTGAATGTATTTAAGATGAAGTACTCCGACATCAAGTTTGAACCACTTGGAGAGTCGTTTTTGGTAACTAATAAACGAATAATTCAATTTGACCATAGTGATGAGGATCTAGCAATCCCTGTTGGTGTTGAAACCCTTGAACATTTGTATCTTGGGAACCCATCGAGAAACAGAGTGAAGGTTCAATTCACTTTCAAAAAGAATGAAGACAGAAAGTTCAAAATGCGGTGTAAGCCGTCGATGGTCACACTTGCTGGTGGTCGCGCTTGTGAATTTGACTTGTACATTAAGCCGTTGTGTACATGTAAGATCACCGATCAAATGCATGTCGTTATGTTGGAATACAAAAGTGGTATTACGTTGATTGAGCCACTTCAAATCGATGCAAACACACAGATGTCGACCCGACTCGATTACGACGAGCTCAATTTAGAGAAGCAAATAGGTGAAGGGAGTTTTGGTGTGGTCTTTAGAGGGACTTTTAGAAACAATCAAGTTGCAATTAAGTTACTGAAGGTCCAAAATGACGAAGACTCGATGAACGAATTCATAAAGGAAGTCTCGATGTTGGATAAATTCAGATGCGAATATATCGTCCACTTCTTTGGCGCCGTCTTTGTCCCCAACAAGATCTGTATGGTCACTCAATTTGCCGAGTTTGGGTCGTTATGTGACTTGATCAAAAAGTGCCGCAAGAACATCAAGAAGAGTCTTCGATACAAGTTTGTCACCGATATGATGCGTGGAGTGTTGTATTTGCACTCCAATGGTATTATGCACAGAGACATCAAATCAGACAATTTCCTTGTCTTTTCAATGAACGAAAATTTGACGGTCAATTGCAAACTGACTGATTTTGGATCTTCAAGAAACATTAACTTACTGAAGTCTAATATGACATTCACTAAAGGAGTGGGTACCCCCGCTTTTATGGCTCCAGAAGTCTTAACACAAGACCGATATACTACAAAGGCGGATGTGTACTCTTTTGCAATTGTGATGTACGAGTGCTTGGGATGGTCAATGGCATACCCCAAAGAACAGTTTGTGTTTCCGTGGGACATCGCTGAGTTTATAAGCAAAGGGCAACGTCTTCCAAAACTCAAGGGGATGGACGATTGGGCGTACGAAATCGTTTCGATGTGTTGGAAACATAATCCAGCGGAACGGTATACTATAGAAAAGGCACTTGATGTTCTTGTCCAGAAACTCAAAGAATCCGACAAGTCTAACAACACAGCCGTGTAATTTGTTTTTGTAATTTTCGATTTTGTTATTCGTTCGAATTTTTTATTAATAATGTTATTAAAAGTATTATTAAAAACACAAATTTATTTTTTTACAATATTTTTATTAAATTCCCATCAATAACAATTTCTATCCAATGTGTATTTTTATGATAATAATACTATTAGTCTTTAACAAAAAGAAAAAAATGCAGAAATCTAGGCAAAATACTATAAATTATTTATACAAAATGAAATTAAAAACATTAAAAAAAGGTTTTTTGTTTTAGAAAAGAAATCATTTTATGTGACTGTAATAACCACTTTTTTAGTCAGTTTTTTTTGATAAAAAAATAACACTTAAACTTATTGAAGAACTGATTTGTTTTGGACAAAACGATTTTCAATGCATTTTTGAGGTGGGGTTTTAGGTAAAAACAAGAAGTGTTGAAATTTAACAAAGTTAGTGGACTTGGGTCGATACGAATGAACTGTGCTATAACTAATAGTAAATGTATTTATTTGTCTAATACTATTGAGAAATGCTGGTTGACTTTTCTTTTTTTGGCGTTGTTTTGTGACCCGAAAGATTAGTCGATACACCTGGCATATTCCATTAACAAACAGAAATCGACTACTGCAAAAAATAGAGAAAAACCAAAGAACGTTCTCCAAGAAAAAAGCCGAAGAAAGAGGGAACAGCAAATACAATGCACGTATTACTTGACTATAAAGCGGGAAATAAATAAAGAAAAATGTCTGGATGGTTAACTATTCTAGAAAAATATGAATGGCCAGAACTCGGGATTTTTGAGGCCAAAGAAAAATAAAACGGCAAAAGTATTGAAAACGAGTTGAAGAGTGACTTGAGCTGTTTATAAATAGATTTTCGTTTATCGCATACAATCCTCCATTATATAACAACCCAAGAGATCATGAAATATCAGTTGGGTATGCAGGCGGCTGCCACTCCATATCAGCCAAGTACACCTTACGACTTTATCAGCTTGCAGACTCTCCAGAATGAAAAGATCCAGACAGAGCATCTCAGAGAGCAAGCAAATGAAAACATCACAGTCTTGCGGAATCTCTTGATGTCACATCTTTCTTCTATATTGGAAGATGGTAACGACGATGATGAGAAAGACGACTTCCCGTGCAAATCCCCATCAGCCATGTCCATGGACTCGGGGTACGGAAGTAACGTCGAAAACTCCCGTGAGCAACTCGACAACTCTATGGAGCTCGAGTGCTGTCCTCTCTGTCCTTTTCAAACAACGACTGATTGGTGTCCCCTGTCCAGAAATTTTCACATGTAATTTATGTCTTCTTATTCCTTCTTTAACATAGGCTTTTTATTGTCTGGAATGACCTCCATATTCTTAATTACTGACAGGCAATTTCCTCCAAGTGGTTATTGTTTGCTATCAAACGACACATCTCCTCTAAATTTTCTTGTTTTTCGCCGTTTTTTATTTGTTTCTGTTTTTTTGGTTAAAAAACAGATTATATGCCTTATGTTCCATTGAAATAAAACTGTTGGCATTCCATACTCTCTGGCATTTTTTTATTCAATTCTCCACACCCATTTTGTATCATAAAAGTAGCAAATGCTTTCGCAACAATTCACAATTCATTTATTCAACAAAATTAAAATCATTTAAAGATATTATAAATAAATAGTTTCGAAATGTAACAAGTGATTGTTGTTTGTATTTGTTAATGTCATATTTCAA